GCGGGGTCTCTCGGCCTTGGTGCATTTGAAGTTGGCGGCGGGAGAATGCCTGCTCGTCAAAACCAGTGGCAGGCCGGTGGAACAAGCCCATAGCGGTAGCCTTTCCATGATCATCTGGGTTAATTGAGGCAGCCAACAGTGAGGGAACGTCGTTGTTCTCGCTTGTGGGAGGGCTCAGGGGAGGAGCCCCAAACGTTGCTGTTCTAGGCGAGAGATGGTCTTTGAACCCGGCTTCTCCGGACATTCGTGGCTTTGATGATGTTGCAGATGGAGGAGGGCTAGTCGGGCCTGTGGTAGAAGCCGGCTCGACAATCGCAAGCTTCAGGTGGTCCCTCAGGTTGGTGGCACTTTTGGAGAAGTTACGGTTCAAAGAGGGAATATCTGGAGTGCCAGCACGCTGGCGACTCAGACTCTCCAGGCGGTTCAAAGTCGAGCTCTGCTGGCTCTGAGCAGCCTGTGTCAATCCTTGTCCGTAGAGACGACGGCTCCGGACCGAGCCATTGCGCGGGGCAGATATGGGGCCAGGACCGGGTCGAGAGTCCTCAGGGAGGGTTTCGGGGAACGGATAGCCCGTCGCTGGGGCTTGGGACGTAGTCAACGGTGACTCGTCGGCGGAGGTTCCTACAGTTGATGTTGGGACTGTTGACAGTGGTCCAGATGCGGTGGAGGAGTATGTGAGTCGGCTGTTAGACGAAGCAGTTGAGGCGGCATATCCAGATTCCCGGGCAGCCGCGGCCTCCGCTCTCTCTTCCTTCTCCTTGAGGCGCAATCGCTGAAAAGCAGATAGGTTCAAGTCATGCTCATAGACTGGCTTTCCCATTCCCCAGCGGCCAGCGTCGGGCGTATCGGGGGTTGTTGCCGCAGGCGATCTGACCGGAATCTTATAAATCTTTTGGCGACCTCCGAACAGATTATTGCCCTCGGCGCGACGGGCTCTGCTCATCATACTGCCCGTTTGGGATCGGTCGTCGTCCGTACCATAGCCGTCCCCCCCCGAAGCGAAAGAAGTGCGGTCAAGTGCAAAGGATGGTCGGCTACCGTCATTGGAGCAAACTTCGTCAATGTCTGTCAGCATGGCGGGGTTGTGACCGAACAAATTGAGTCGGGAAGCGCGCTTGGGAAATAAAACGCTATCATCACTAGCCTTGCCTAGCATTGAGAGTGGGTCGTCCTGTTCCTTGAGCATGCTAAATCGAGCGGACAACTTGGGCATTAGCAGACTGGTGCGGAAGTTGTCTGTCGGCGGGAGTGCGGCTGATAAGTCGAAATCTAGTTTGGGTTCCGGTTCGACCACCTTCTTCTTCGATGATTTCAGACTGAATCCTGGCGATGTCGCTTCTTCCTCCGCGGCCTCCTTCGCCTTCTTGTGTTTGCGGAATCGGTTCATCATTGGTGGGATGCTCGAGGTGCTCAGGGGCCACCTCGTAATTGGAAAGGAATGAATGCGCTTCGATAATTTTAAGATTGGGTTGAGTGAATGTCGATAAATCCGAGTATGTAGTAGTAGCTTAAACGACGATCAGTGTCCCGGGTTGGCTCAATGCGGTCAAAGTGACTCAATGGAGGTCCTTATCCAGAGAATGAAATGAGCGGCATGACCTTCAAGTGCAACAACAAGTGCAGATGGAGGTCAGGGAGAGAGAGACGTCCCCTGAAGAGAAGAAGCGCCAGGAATACCAAGTTCACGCCGTGTACCGTGAATGGTCCGGGTGCCAGACCAATCAGAGTAATTAGCGGGGATTGACAGATCAGAGCATGAGAGAAACAGGACGCAATATGTTGCAGAGTCCGTCGAGAAGGAAATAGGTCGAAAAGAAAGAATGACTGGGGAAATTGACGCGAAGAATGCACTGGGAGGGGGAGATTTGGAATGGATCCAGAACTGTAACTGTCCAGGGCCCTTAGCGGCGTACGATATTACCAAGAGAAAAAAAAAATAAGATCTAGATGATCGTCTCAAATGGGTGTCCACCAGCGGATCAAAATTAAGTACCGTTCGTGTTCTTTATTCTAATGGTTATATTTCTTGGATCTCTCTTCTGTAGCTCTATAGAATGTTATATACGATCTATATTCTCTGTTTATTTACTGTTTCAGTAGACCTGCATTGCCTGCACTGTCCATGCCCCAAGGGGGCTTCCCGAGCCTGCATCCATGGTCCGATGCAGGTACGGTATGGTATGGATACTTAGGCGACCAGTGTAGACTCCGCTCAATATCAGGTAGCCACTGCCCAAACTTACTGTCATCCATTTCACCCCCCTGCGTAAGATAAAAAATAAAATGTTCACTATCACATCCCCCTCTTCTTCCCTTTTCCCTCTGCCCTTCCTTCTCGTCTCGCTTCCGGAATGTGGAACCTGGGGCTGAGCGCCACCCTGATGACTGCGAGATTGTTGGACATGTCGATGTGGCCAATTCTGGTTCGAAACATGCAATTTGGTGGTGTGTGTGCGATGTTATTTCCAATGTTCCTATGACATCGGGGGACTCCGTAATGAAGCAATGAAAAACACTCATTCGCTAGGGGGTCCCGGGGGCCTGGACACGGGAAACACCAAGATCGTCGCCCCATTACTTCATTTCACAGTTTGGGAGCAGGATTTTGAATGTGGAAGGTGGTCACGGTACGGAGTAGTTCATCCGTCCAATCTCTCATATCAGAATCGAGAAATAGGATCGAGTCACACACAGTATACTGTATAATGTGAAACTCCTTGCCTAGGAAGCCGGCAGCAAGGGAAATTCATTGGTTGTAACTCTCAAGTACTCCGTACTCCATAGACTAATCAGACATGCGATACTCCGTACCCCGTACAACATGCAATAAAGTTGGAAGATACGTGGGAGGTTCGTCGCGATCGCAATCTGCAATATGTCCATAGAGCAATATATTGAAAATATGACTTGATTTGAAAAATAAACAATGGTCAGCCACAATATAAGGTACCAGTGGTACAACAATGACACAAGATAGGCCAAACCCTAACTAACTCATGAATGTTCCGACTCTGCAGGACCAGCGTGCATGACAATGGTGGCATTCGCTGCATCTGATGAGGCTATGTATGTTGGATTTCCGATATCCTAGTTACTCTATGTTGTACACCATCACTACATGTAACTAACTAGTAATGGTTGTGGATCAACAGCAATGTCAGCAGCAAGAGCTGAACCATGGTAGATGCCACGATAGAGTCCAAGTCCATCTCCACTTGACCCAGCAACTATTTATGATAGGGGTCTGTTGATATTAGGAATTCATCCGATCTGTGTGGAACCGAAGAACATCCCCAAAGCCTAGAACGGTAAAATAAAAAGGAGCAAACTTCTTTAGCGCGTCCCTAGGTGCGTCTTGGCCGGTAGGCTTGGCAGCCGTTTGGGAAAGCCCCGCCTACAAGCTTTTCCACCTTCCGATAGGCGTGATTCGAATCATTAGCCCTAGAGAAGTTGGTGTAGTGCCCCTGACTAGTCCGAATCTGGATACTAATTTAACTCGGGATCTTGTTTTTTCTTATACATTTCGAGAGCTGTTGAACCGTTCTAAGTTATGTATGTATCATAAATATGATATCTACTCCGTAGCTTCGATTGCATCAACATTAATCTAATAATACTAGGGAGTACTCCGTACGGAGTATCCGGAGCATCGAGAGACATCGATAACGTACCGGAAAGCATCCGCCAACCGGGTCTCAACCAACGGAGCAATCCGCGGAGCCAATCCCTCGTGGCCGAATTTTCGGTTTCATTTTTAGAGAAAACAAAATTCCCGGGCAAAAGTCCTGGATATCAAGTGCCATAACATACACTACACTCCCGAGTACCACTGGATATTATCACCTTGCATCTACGAGCTATACTTCCAGAATGCATCGAAACCAACGAGATCCCGATAATCCAATATTAGAAACTCACGATCAACTCGGAATCGAGAAACCCCGATCGCGAATATCAATATCCGGAGTACTAGCCGGAGATCCAGGGGCTTCCACCAACGAGGGACTCTCCACCGAACATGCCAACACCAAACCGGTGGAAACTCAACAAAAAAAAAGGAAACGAGCATTATAATTGGAGGCCCTCCTCCCCCATCCACTGTTAGTGAAGAGGGGTTGCCGGGACCGGGGCAGCCCCCGGTCTCTCTCGACGGTCTTCATGAAGCAATAGTTAGAATCTGCCATAGTCGTATGACCACGGCTGATCCGCTCATTGCTCACCTGGTGATTCCTCGCCACTGTGCTCCGTACGGTGCGCAAGATCGATTCAATATTGTAGGTGTGTGCCTGCTTGTGGGTTAGGCCGAGTTTGAGGCGCTGTTTTACTCGGCTGACGGTGATACGGAGTATGAATTGGTCTCAGGTGGAGTCGGCAATTGGGTTTGGTGTCCGTCATCGAATTTCGATCCGTTAATTAGAGAAAACTTTGTTAGCTCGCTAGAATCCTAGTGTTAATTTATTTCAGACGGGGGCGTCGAGGTCTAGAACGCAGGTGAGCATTATCCTCACTCGTACGAAGTACAAACTTGACTATTCCGTACTCCGTACCGGAGACGACCCCCTAGGAGATATATTGTCGTCATCGTTGGCCTAAGCAGCATGTACAATTTCCCTACATGGCAAGTTATCTACGAATCAAGACATGACCACTTATACATCAGAAATTCGAGAATAGTATCTCATAGTTTGCGGGGGATAGAACCATGCAAGATGTACCATTAACAAAAAAAAACGAAAAGCTGCACGCTCGCTCAACTCTCCATCACATAGGGACCACCGTTTCCCATCTCACATTACCACACCAAGTCCACATGATTCGCGAGAGGGGAGCAGGACAGGAAAAGGCAAGAGAAGAGGGAGAAGAATATAGAAGACAGGGGAGAAAGGAGGTACCTTTTCATTCATACATGATCTCACCCAATCTAGAAGGGGCAAGCAAAAACACAAAAGAAAGGGTCGTCTGCTCATAGCGCAATCACAGCAACAAAAAAGATCGTCCTGTTACTTACTGGCTTCCCAGCCCACCCAGCTACGGGGCATCACTCGCCAAACCTTGCATTCACCACTACGGAGGTCGTTGAGCTTGAAGCTCTCCATTTTGACCTTCTTGCTCTCGCGGCCTTGCTCCCAGGCTCGGATCTTCTTCTTCGTGCCATCCCAATCGACCACGATGCCGACGTGGTCGGGTCTTCCAACCTCGGCGCTGTACTTCTGGTGCATAGTACCGCGGTGACCCTGGAATCGGGCATTGCGGAAGCTGACAATGTCACCAGCGCGGATTTCATCGTTCTGAGACACGGAGGCATTGGCCAGGTTTGAATAAACCGAGGCACCGTAAGCGCGGGTCCCCACCGGAAGTAGCGCGTCGGAAAGAGGACTGAGCAGGTGCTGGACCAATCCGAACGGAGTGCCGTCTCCAACGGTAGAGTTTTGGACCGAGTTGACGGCTTCTGAGATTCGGGTTCCAAGCTGAATGTGAGCCTGCTCGAGCTGATCCTGGCGAGACGGGAGCGGTGGGGGTTCATGGCGCTGCTCGAAGGAAGCATCCTTGGGGTTCTTGGGATCGAACTGGACATTCAACACTGTCTGAGAGTAATCGATGAATAGGATATAGACGTCCTTGGAGACTGTCGTTTTGCCACTGCGGTTCGTGGATGCAGTCTCCTCGACCTCGAAAAGCAGATCAGTGCGGTTCTGGAAAGCTGGAGGCGGTGTCTTGGGTTTAGTCCACCAGAGGGTATACGCGGCGAAATCAACATCGGTGGCGATGTAGCCTTGGTCAATAGATGGGCGAGAAACGTCCATAGACCGGCGAAGATTGGGCTGACTTCTTAGAATATCCACAGATGCGCGCTGGGTTCGGGCTGCGGATGGGGATGGCAAGCCCGAAGCCTGGCCTTGGGGAAGCGCCAGTGAAAGGCGCTTATCGCTCCTTTCTCTTACTGGGCTGTGCACAGGAGGGGCATCATATAGATCGTCAAATTCATCGGCCGCTTGTGTTGGGAAAGGAGGCGGCGGCCCTGGGCGACCGACTGGGACGGGTGGAGACGCGGGGAGACCATGTCGGGGAGCAGCGTAGTTGAAAGGGTCATATTCAACATCATCATCGCTGTTTGGCTCTCTGTCCGGCGGAGGGGGCGGCGGTCCCCTGGGTGTGTCGATAGACGCACGTGCGTTCCGGGGCGGCTGGCTTGGCGGTGGAGGCGGAACTGCTCTGGGAGCCGTGGGTGGAGGAGGTAGGTGATGATGCCGGGATTCCTGGGGGCTTCGTGGAGACTGGACGGAATAGTCGTCGGTGAAAATACCCTCGTCAAAGCTGGATTCACGCTCGTGGGCTTTCAGAGCATCTTTGTGTTTCACACCTGATGCGATATCTGTGTCGTAGTCTCCATCATATTCAGTCACCTCTCCTTCCGCTTCTTCTCCAGCCTGTCGAGGAGCAGATAACGCACTCGTGCGACTGTCGACGGTAGATCGGCGACGAAGCTGGTCAGAAGGCAGGGGAGGGGGAGCGCGGCCCTGCGCCGATGGTGGCATCGGCAGATTGACTGGAATAGGGGGTGGTAGACGACTAGCTCTCTTTTCAGCCGCAGGGGTCGCAGCCGTAGAGGGCACAGGGTCGTATATTGAGGATCGGCGAGAGTCAATATGTTCATGAACCGCATGTGCAGGCACGGGTGGTGGAGCAGGCGAATTATTCAACGACAGAGTAGATGTGTGCACCGACAATTCATCATCAGACTCTTCGCCCTTGTCGGCAGTTGTGGGCCGTGGTAGAGGAGGAGCTGGTCGACCTGTATATCATCGTTAACGCCCAGGTCGCATAATTTGCTTCCGGATCTGGGTACTTACCTGCAGGAACTGGCGGAGGTGAAGCCGGTGGCTCAACTGGAACTGTCGGGACGGGCCTTGACTCTCGGTGAGGCGGAGGAGGCGCGGAACGATCTGCGACTATCAGGAATTGGAACCATGCATCAGGCTGCTGGAGAATAATTTACCTTGAGATGGTGGAGCCGGGGCCGGACGGTCAATAGAGGTACGAGGCAGTGCACCTTCGTGGATGACCTCCTCGACGTCTGGCACCTCGCGTGCGGCGTGTTGTTCAGTGAGAGGAGTTGCCAAAGGCTCCTCCTCTTCCTTCTCCACCTCAGTATAAGAAGGTACCGGCTTGCTAGCCACGTTCATCCCAGGAAGTGGGATCATAGGGACTGGGGGCGCATTGGCAGGGGAAGTGGGCTCAGATTCGAGCTCTCCAAGCCGCTTCTCTGACTCGACGGGAGTCTTGGGCTTGCGAGCACTACCGGCACCAGCCATACCTGGCATACCTGGCATACCTCCGATAGGCGGGCCGAAGAGACCCATCATGCCCATTCCTCCGCTCATCTTGGCCATTCGCTCACGCAACTCCATTCTGCGCTTGGTTTCAGGGTCCATTTCCTCCTCTTCCTCTTCCTCTACATCGCCCTCGTCTTCAACACCTGCCTCGGCAGTTTGTTCAACTGCATGAGTCAACGGTTGACGCCGAGAGACTGGACGCGGTTGAGCCTGATCTTCCTCATCGTCCTTACTGGTAGATGTTTCGCCGGCATCCTCGGAGTCTGCAGCAGCGGAGTAGTCGGCATCATTGGCGTCACTCGCGACTTCCTGGGTGGGTGAGAATGGGGCAGGGGGCTGTGAAGGAGGGGCCGCAGCCCTCAATGTATCAACACTAGTATCGCGAGTAGCCGGTGATTCTTCAACGGAGGGAGCTTCCTGTTCCTCGTCGAGGACTGTGGGAGCCACGGGTTCGTCCATCGACTTCTTGGGAGGGCGAGAGGGTTTTTCTTTCTTCTGAGCTGCCTCTGCATGACGCTGAGCTTGCTCTAATTGCTGCTTCTGAAGCAAAGCAATTCGGTCTTTCAGACTAGTTGGCTTAGGCTGGCCCTCTGCTCCCTCCTCGCCACCTTCAATATGGGCAGGCCGGCTTTCAGAAACCGGAGGCTCGCGGGCAATTTGTTCCTTCACATCTGGATCCTCCTCTCGTTTATAGATCTTGGGCGCAGGTTCCCTTGGTGGAGGCTTATAGGCGTCCCGGCTAGGAGGTGGTGCGACAAAAGGCTTCTTGACGAAGGATGGCTGGGAACCACCGGGTTTGAATGGCGTAACCGGTGCAGCGGCAGGTTTATTGAAGGCAGCAATACGATCCCTGAATGATGACCCCGAGGGCTTATCCGCTACAGCCGGAGGCGCAGGTTTTGAGGGTGCTTTGGCTGCGGATTCAGTTGGGGCCACGGGATGGGCGGGAGCGGGCGCCTTTGCTGGCTGCGGGGGCGAGGATACAACTTCTGCTACAGGGGCACTCGCATGTAGACGAGGGGACTGGGGCAGTGGCTGCGAAGATTGAATCCCATAATCTTCCTCTGTAGGCTGCACCGCGGGCTCGGGCTCGGGCTCAGCCTGCTTGCTTTCGACCACGGGAGACTCCACTGGCACCGTCTCGGGCTCCTTTTTGGGCCTGGGTCGAGATGGCCTCGGAGGGGCCGGAGGCTCATATTTTTCAACGAAGTTTTTCGGGAAGATGCCCTCCTGCCTGGCCCCCTGGGCGTCTGAGTATTCACCGTAGTACCAATCGTCGTCCTCCAGGGCGGTGACGGTCACGATTTGACCGATCGGGAAGTTGAGGTCATCATCGTGGCCCGACGCATACTCGAAGACCGAGCGGACCGTGAAGGGCGGAACTGACATCTGGCAAGCCGAGACCGATGTTCAGACCTTAGGACAATCGGGGTGGAGTGAGGAATGCTGAACGAGTCTGTGACGCAATGATGCTAGAATATCTGTACAGAGCGAATCGCCGGCTTCAATGCCTTTAGCATGCAGCAATATTTAAGGCGAAACGAATCAATTCCTTTGTGGTACGAAGGCGTGTCAGCTTAGATGAAACGGACGTCAGTGAGTGGATGCCTACGGGGGAGATGAGGGGGGGAGGGGGGACTGCGGAAACACTCACGGCGTGGAGAACCGAACACCGTAGCCGGGGCCAGTAGAGAATTGATGCAAGATGAGAAAAAAGGAACACGGTCGGAAAGACAAAAAAAAAGTAGTAGGGGAGGAGGATGTACGGAGCAGCGAGGTGGTCGTCACTTGGCGGGATGAGGGAAATGGGCTCCACTGGACGATCGGCGGCTTAACACATCAACCAAGGAACACGCACATGGGGGAAAATGCCTAGATGTGTTGAAATACCAAGGGAATTTATACCGATTCCAGATAGATGTGGGTATTCAACTTGTTTTTAGGTGAAGTACGTTAAATAGTTTGGTATCTAGCTAGGCTATAGACGTCGAAGCTATATAACTACCCAGGTCGAAAGAAATATCCCATATGTAGACTGTACCGAGTATGTATATATTGCATATTGTAGGATACCATATGTCAATATCTACAAGTTATGCGATGCCAAATATCAAACATAAAACCCCCATACATCCATACATATCCTGGATGCCCAAAGCCTACGTCAGCAGTCAAAGTGTCCCTCCTCCCATTGGGGGTCAATCCGGGGTTTCGCCTCTTCCGCTTTGGAGTCGAATTCTGCTGATTTTATTTTTTCTATTTCCTCTCACTTCCCAACTCAACCCATCTTCAATTTAAACTACCCCTTGGGTTATCTTCCAGGGGCCTCAGTTAAAAACTATGGCACACCAAGGGCCAAGCCACGCTCTCAAGACCTCTCTTCCCGAGACATATGCCGCAATCAATGCCCAGCGACCCCCACCTTCATACCTATACCCTACACAAGAAGAGCAAGACAAATACCTAGAAGGTAGGCCCGGTGCGACCCAGCAGCACCTCGAAGTCGCCCTGGAACACGCGCAGCAGATTCAGACCCAAAAGGATGCCGAAGATGTCATCCTTAACCGCATCCTTGAGCTCCTCGAGCTCCCCTCTTCTCCGACAGCGGACCCAGCCGCGCCGTCGCAAGAAGATGCTGTAAAACTCAAATATTCGCTAGCCCCATTTCGCCCCAGCGACTACGACAATCTGATCCTGGAGCGAAACTTCGAAGACTTGTGCGGGTATGCTCTATGTCCCCACAAGCATCGCAAGCAAGACAACGGCCCGCGAGGTGGGTTCCAGTTTAAATACGGTCCTAAAGGAAGTGGGCCAGGAGGGCGTGGACGCAGCGTGGAGATTGTTTCACAGGACCGCATCGAAAAATGGTGCTCGGATGCATGCGCAGAGCGAGCTCTTTGGATCCGGGTACAGCTATCTGAGAAGCCTGTGTGGGAACGACGGGCGGGCGATACGCGGGGCACGTCTATTCTACTACTCGAGGAAGCTCGCGCCAAGCGCTTGAAGGCACCCGCCGCTACTAGCAGTATCTCCTCCGTTGTGGATGATTTACAGAGCATGGGACTTGGGAATCGCAATCGGTCCCGGGAGCTTGCGTTGGAACGCGGCGATACCAGCTTGATTCGTCCGGATGGACGTGTTAACGTTGATATTAGAGAGAATCAACGTGGTTCTCAGCAGGTGGCTGCCGCTCCACAGATGCGACCGGAGGATGCAAGTGGCGGTTCCATTGAAGGATACGTGCCCAGGGAGCGACGAGACGTCGATCAAGATGGAGACATAGATTTGCTCGATCAGATCTGAGGATAGCAATGCTGCTATGGGATTTCGAAGGGGATTTTCGGCGTTCTACTTATTAATACCCGATCAATGTTGACATTGACACATGAGTAATGAACAATCTACACACAGACCATATGTATGGCTATAGGCTGGCCAGCAGGACTCGTACATACATAGAATATGTACGTATAAATCCAGACATGACTCAAACCACCAAAAGTCTCGAGTCTCTCGGACTGAGGTAACCCCCAGTCCAAGAACTCCTACGTAGGTCCAACCCAGAGAGTAAACTCATGGGTAGGTAGACACGAGGAAGGAAAATTGGCAATCAAGCGTCATCTCCTTTCGGAGAATCAGCGACACCTTTCTCAAAGAGAATCATGTTTATTCATTCCTCATCCAGGAATAGCCCTCCACACTAAGCTAAACCATGCTAGCCGAGCGAAAAGCCAGCCAGAACAGACATTTGGGTACCACCAAGGGTTGACCGAAGGCCAGGTATGAAATTTTTTGTTTTTTTTTCGTTATTCCGGGCGCTGGATTTAGCGGGGACCGAAACGACGGGGGCGCTCGACCTGCTGCTGCTGGCTGACGGCAACAACGTTGACCTTGAGGTTGTCGAACTGTAGAGATGCATTAGATATATGCCAACGCATCGTAGTGTGCAGTGGAAACTTACGCCCATGGACTTGAGAAGGTCCTTGGTGTCGGCGTCAACGTCAAGCTGGCCGGACTCGGTCTGGGAGACGTCGAGAGCAGAGACCTCAGGAACGTACTGATCCTTGCGCTCACGCTCCTCCTCCTGAAGCTTGAAGGAGATACCGCGGACGGGACCACGCTGGATGCGCTTCATCAAGTGGGTAGTGTAACCAGCGATCTAGAAGAAATTTCGGATCAGAATTGGAGATCTCGAGTTGTTGGTGCCAATGTATAGAATCTCACCTTGTTGCGAAGACGCTTGGAGGCAATGATGGCGATCTCATCACAGATACGCTTGTTGGTCTCGAAGTCGAGGGTCAACTTGGGGTAGTAACGCTCGATGATGACCTTAGCGGAGCGCTTGACTGTCTTGGTACGGACGCGACCCATTTTGGCGGTTGTTGGCTGGCGGAATGAATGTTCGAAAGATCCAGAGTAGTCGTGCTGATTTGGATGAGTTTGAGAAATCGGGTTTCGCTTAGTCCTGTGTGGGTCATTGCCCTAGGCCGGCCCTAATCAAGAAGTCACGTGGCTTACGTATCTTATCTGATTATGTAATCCTTCACGACATCCAGGGATGCTCTTCTAGGAAGGTAGGAAACATATCCAAAGTAAATCCTCAAGTGTAAGTACGATTATTGAATCTATTGTCTTGTTGTTTTACCGCTGTCGAAATAACTTGATATTGATGCACCTTATATATGACATAATCAGAAAATAAAACGAAAGTAGCTTTACACAAGCACCAAATCTATCATACATGGTACAATCCCTTGCACATCCTCATAAAACTTCACTTTTCCCTATGACTTCGAGTTAAGGTTGTTAAGAAGGCTGCGTGCGACATCCTCTGTCCCCCTCGTGGGTTGCCTCCGGGGTCGGTTCTCCGCGGAAGGCTGGAACCGAGGCTGACCGAATGGCAGTCTGTCCAATCTTGGGACCAACGGGGATGGGGCAGTGGCAACATCGGAGATAGTCAAAGTAGTCGGCTTGTGATAGTCTTCGATTCCGTAAGGAGCCTTGGCGGTTGCACTCGCGCGATAAGATGAAAGGCCAATGCGGCCGTCGGAGTCAACCGAAGCCCGGATAGGAGTAACCCAGTATTTACCTCCGCCAGGGATGGACGCATCGAAGAAAGTCAGACCGGGGGGTGTGCCTTGCTCCACAAAGGTCATGGCATTCAAATCTTCGACAGCAATACCACCAATACCTGCGAGGGCACGTGCCATGCGTCCCTTAAAGCGGCCCTTAGGGCGCAAGATACGAGCCTCCACGGGGCGCTGGTGGGCTTGTGGGCCAAACTGGGCATGGTTGTGAATCAGGGCGTGTGATCGTGTGTATGACAGACCACCAGACGGGTGTGTCTTCGGGGGTCCTGAGACGGCGTATTCGAATGAGGACAACTTGCTTCCAGGAGATTGATAGTACTTGCGCCCGATACGCTCGCTAGGAACGGCAGGGGGGAAGCGAGATCAAGCAACTCATAGACCACGGGACCGAGAGCGAATGGGTCATTGCGCAGAGTTTTAATGTAGGCATTGAACTCCGCATCGGTGACAGTTGCGGGCTGAGCTTCCAAGTCTTCTCCATTATCCTGTGCCAGTTTCCGGATCTCAGCAGACCGCTTAGCGACAAACTGTTCACGAAGCTTCTTCAGGAGCTCAGGCTTATTGCGAGTCACTTGCTTCAAGTACGCTGCGAACTCTGCCTCCGTCTGCCCGGCAAGCCAAGGGCCGGTGTGTCTGAATTGCTTGGCACCAGGTTCCTGGAGACCCTGGCTGGTCTCGGTGTTATCGAGATGCGCTTCGAACGGACTTTGATGTCTTGGCACAACACTTGTAGCGTAATTGACTTTGGAGGGGAGAGACATAGGCATGTGCAGCTCCTGGAACTTCTCGAGGGTCACGGTGTGATCTGCGGCGGATTCGAAGTCGGTGACATGTTCATATGTATCGAGAGCGTGCACTCTAACGACAGGCCTCGATGATTTCTCCGATGTTGACTTAGCCGGTAACGGTCGTTTCAATCCCCAATCGCCTCGGGCTAGTGATGATTGCGGTGTAACGATGGAGGCTCGAATGGGATAATGCAGAGTCGCGGTGTCGGATTCTCTCGACGTTTGGTCACTACGGCCCTTGAGAGTTTTAGGGAGCGCGAACAAACGCGAGTTTCGTAACAAGTTCGCCGTTGGCGATAGCCTGGCGGAGGCCATCTTGTTCAGTGGATTGACTATGTGATCTTGGATAGCTGGCGCGAGAAAAGTTGACCGGAGAACACGGGCCAAAGCGGTACGGTGCGCGACAACGACCGAGACCGCCGTTCTGTAGTTAACCCACAGTTTTGTATCTATAGGATGTAACTCTCATGTTTATTATTATAAGATGTAAGACGCGTGGCACTTGATGGAATTTATTGCTTGAAATTGCTCTCATATACGTTGTTGTAAAAGAAAAATGTTTGATTTGTTCTCTCATAATGTATCCATCAATTCAATCTAGATCTCCGAAATGAGTTTAAGCACCGACGGCTAGAAGAGAATCGATGGTGTCTGAGACTGTCTGCTTTAGTGGGCGGTACTCGAGTCCAAGGATCTTTTGCGATTTACTGTTGTCAATCTGATAGATGTTTTTCGGGAAGTCGCTGGGAGCGTCTGCAGGGGGCAGCTTAGACTCTAACTCGGGATGGGTCTCGCGAGCAATATCCGCAAGTTCCTTGTTCGAGAAGAAGCCAGCGGTGACAAAGAATCTCTCGCCTCCTGCTTCAGGGACTTCGATGGCTCTGACATGTGCGAGGGCCACATCACGCACGTCCACCCACAGAAAAGTGCCCGTTGGGGCTATTTTCTCCTTCATTTGACCCTGGATGAGGTTTCTGATGCGCTGGTTCGAGGTGTTGATAGTCTCAAGGGAGTTGAGATAATGAACTATCGGGCCAAATACCAGTGGCGGATTGATGGTAGCAATATCGAAATTCGGCTTCTCTTTCTCAACAAAGGCCCAGGCTGCTTTCTCCGCAAAGGTCTGATATGGAACTGACTTAGCACTTGCATTTACTCAGGCTGACCGTCCAATATCACTTACCTTACTAGCACGGTAAACTTGCGAGTGGTCCAACGCCTCCTCCCATGTCACTGGATTCCATTCTTTCTCGCTGTAGACCTTGGGGTGCTGCTTGCCATTCACAATAGCAGCGAATGATGACGTGATTACCACTCGCTTCACGGTAGGAGCATATTCCTTGATTGCCTTCAAAATACCAGTGGTTCCCTTAATGGCTGGATCAAGGAAGTCTTTCACGGGGTCCTGAACATTAAAATGGAAAGGAGATGCGGTATGGAGTACATAGTCAAAGGGAGGGTCTGACTTGACGGCCTGTTGTTTTTCCGTTAGTTGTGTATCTATCAGGGGCACGATGTTCTACTAACCTCATCAAATGCACCATCCTTAGCTACATCATTGACAATCACATAAGAGAGTTTCTCCTTCGACACATCGGGGTGGGCCTCAATAATGCGTTTACCCTTCTCCTCCGATCTGACAGTAACAACTGTATCAAAACTAGAGTAAAACTGTCAACCGATACTCTGTATTTTCATGTTGGCTAACGCATACCCATGTTGTAGAAGAATGTCAATGATGTGGGCGGCGATGAAGCCACTGCCTCCTAAAGTAGATAGTTAGCTTGGGCTCGAGGGCAAGTTAAAATCACATACCAGTCAAGAGAACTTTAACCATTGCGAGAGATAATTTATGGAGTTCTAGATGTGTGAAATATTCAAGAAAGAGGATAGATACATATTGCTGCGGGGTTTCTAGATCAGGATGACTAAGCGGCCATGTGATTAAAAGCACCCCCGAGGCATAGTTAGATAGCAACGCAGACATCTTTCCACCTTCGCTTCTCAGTACAGTAAAACCTGTTTATAACGAACCTGGTTATAACGAATATCTGGTTTAAACGAAATAATTCCGGCCTACCAATTAATCCGCCATAGTAATAACGAAATTCCCTCTTTACTACGAACTTCGTTGTATATAAAATTCGTTATAACGAGGTTTTGTTACGTCATTTTCGACTTTTTTGACCAATTTTTGACCAATCAAAATGCCTCGCCGATCGATCCTAACCTTCCAGAACGTCGACCCTTCTGTTTACCATCTAGTAAAGAGCTTGTTTAATGGCTTTATAAAGCCTATAACCATCGTCCCTCTCCTTCTATAATCTCCGAGATCCTTTCCCGCATTTATTGATTTCCTTCTACAGTTTGATAAGGATGAGATCGTTATAGAATGTGACGATCTGACGATCTGCCGACTGATACCGACTGCGTACTTGCCAAACCTGGGCCCTCGACCTCGTACCTGCAGACCGAGTCGTCCCTTCCTAAAACTGTAAGCGAAGACGGTGTTTGCTTGGCTTGTGGCGAGGTCGCCAGGAAGAGTATAAAACCCAGTCGTGGCCGTAGATTGTTTCCTTTCCCTCGTTCTTAGAATTCTTGAATCAATTGTACTCAATTCTTCCGAAAGGAACTGGCATGTAACGCTCAATAGTATAGTTCTGGAGGCTCACGAGCTTAGTAGCTTAGTAGCGGGCTTTCACAGTATGAGCCCCGGTTCCCAAAAGGGCCTAGACTTATAGCGTTACTTTCCTAAAGGGGGAGTAGAAATATAGTGCGAATGCGTATAAAAATTAGAAAAGAGCCGTCCTCCCCTCGCTATTGAGCAGATACATAATATATCTAGCGTGCATCTTCTCAGTTTGTATCTTTTCATAATAACTTACAGACACCCGCTCTAAACTATCAGACAGACCTAGCTTTCTCTCGTCTTTGATTTTATACCTTCAGTAACTCTATTTCCTCTAAAGGCCTGCTTTCATCCTTTGTAATAGAATTTGTTAAAATTGGAATCATAACCGGAGACGATTTGAATGCTTTTACCGTGGAGATTAATGGCCCAGGCCAAGTGAATATCTCAGGATCGGCATAAAATTCGTGCGGAAGTTGGGGGAGGAAAGATTCTATTAGTGGACTTTTACATACATAACAGCGTCCCGTTCCTGGAAGTCGAGTCATTCACTTCCTGGTTTCAGCCAAACCGACGCATGAATCATTTTGTGACAAAATATTCATCATCGAGTTGGACCCTTTCTGTTATGCAAAATATAGCAGGAGATACAGTGGTGAGCCTAAAAAGGCTTTTATTACATACCAAGTTTGGCGGCCTCTTCTCGTATAGCGGACCAATCAAAACATTTCTCATTGACAAGGTCCGCTGCTGAGTCTACCAATATCTGTAGCTGGGGATGTGAAGGTTGCACAAGCACACAAAACTAGCAACGTCTTCAATGTGGTATCGCTTGTTCACACCCAGCCCCACATGTATGGTCTAAATGGTAAACTCTTGCGTACTTTGGATGATGTCGGGGATGATGATGTTCGTCGTGCTAGCTTCCTAAGCAAGGACAGTAAGGTTCACCGCCAGAGCCACACTCAACACGCAGAGCAATACAGTGGCGAACACACTAGCGAGGAGAAATAAGCTTGGTCTGTTGTATTCGCCGAGATCATCTTCTCCAGGCATCTGGTATGAACTTCAGCCAGAAAAGCAAGTCCTTATGAAGGAAGGCAATGTCCTCTGCGTATAGCACAGATACTATGATAAGTCTCCTCGAAGAAGATTAATTAGAGCCACCACCCGCAACCGAAGACTAAGTGGTAAAAAGAGCTTAAGGGATATCTTAGGTACTATTATATTTAGATGATCCTGATTACGAATCAACTAATCTGATTGTACGGTGCCAAAAGCTTCATTAATACATGAATCATTTATATTACATTGGACAGAGCAGTTTAAAGAGTAGCGCTAATTAGGCCGTTCAGGCATCAAAATACTTCCTAAAAGGGGTTTGCACCCTGAGCGCTATGGGTCTTCATACCCGCAAAGTGGTGGTTAACGGGTGCGAAGTAGGCCCAGCCAAAGAACAACCACATCAAATGCACTATTTGATGTTAGCAATCCGATGTGTAGAAAATATATCGAGTCGTCTATTTGATATCAAAAGATAGGACTTTGCTGAAGTCTGAACACCACCTATGCACGCCTACATACTATCTCCAAATCTGTGGCGACTTCTGTCGTATATTTAATGCCATCTCTGGTCAGCGCTCTAGCTACTGCGCAATATCTAATTGCTGAAACCACCATGTGTTCTCTTGCGGCTTATAAGGGAGCTAAAGCGTCCATGACTGTCCCTTAAATGGACCCTGCTGTTGTTCGCTCAAGGTCTTTGAATTTCTTTCTGATTGGGTCTTTAAATTATCATTTTCAGTATTCTAATTGCCTGGTCAGGAGTTCGAGCCCCTGGCTAGTTCCAATAGCTCGATAGGCACTGTTCAGCCCCATATAGGGCTCTGAGACTAATACCTTGAATACATGCAATCACCGTCGTAACAAAGACAGTTTTCTCCATATTTTCCCTTCTTTTGGCGAAGTCATCCAAGATGATTGACATGACTTCATCCTCGGACTTGGCCCACATATGTCGTGACGCATGAAGAAAAGTATTGAGAGCGAATGAAGCACTATTCTCTTGCTTCGACTGATTCCCGATACTCCTCTCGTCACTTTCTTGGAGCGTGGCCCAAATAAAAAGTAAACATTGCAGACATTTAGAGACTGCTTCCCGTTGATGCCGTGTCTCTCCACGCATGACGTCCTCTGTCCGTCGATGTTGCAAAACCTTTATCGCTTCTGCCAATGACGCGAGGTGTGCGAGTTGTTTGGCGTGGTGAGACTGGTTTGAGGATTGATGGGGCAAGTAGGAAGTATCTAATATCTTGTATACAAGATTCTCGAATTCCTCCATCAAGTATGACACAGACGATGACTGTTCCGGTATTTCAACAATAGAAAGCCTGACACTTTAGTCGCAATATGACGAATGAGATTATGGACATGATAGGGGACTTACAGGGAAAGGACAAGCTGAATCCTCCAGTTTGGACCGAAAGCTTTATAACCTCCCCTGGCCTGTACCATCTGCTGAAGCCCATGTTTGTGCATGTTGAAACGTTCACGTGTTCCCCAGTGTCTCTGCGTATAACAACCATCTTAGTCCCGTGAATATTTCATTCGTGCATGATCAGCACAAAGCAGGACTCTTGGCACGATCAACCGTTACCTTCTTCAAGCTGCGGAAAATAGCATACCTCAAATGTGAGAAGTCGCACGACACCGGCAAAAACATCATCCTTAATCGCGTTGACTGTATCACCAAGCCATTTATTGATTGTTTCGATGGCTTCCGTTTTGTATTTCAGAAGCTCCGGATTATTTCTACCTCCTTCAAATCTCATGAGATCTGCAGCTGCATGAGCCAAGATTCCATTGAATGATGCAGCATTTGATAGATCGAGTGGCATCCAAATCTCTGTGAATGGAGTAAAGGTCCGCGCCTGAAGTCCTGAATGTATGATATGCGCATGCATGCTCAGCCCTAAATAAGAAAATCAAGCTGTCAGTCCCCTTGATGTTGCTGAGTAAGGCTGCTGTATTAAAAACGCACTCACAATGATAGAAAAACCGGTGATGATGTGCTGAAATCTGAAATGAGTTTGCTTCAACCTTTTGGCCCAAAACACAGGCGAAAGTGAAGCTGATGTTAGCGAAAAGCTGGTCAGGGATCCCAAGCTCTTCTGGACTTTTGACTGAACAAGAGAGATACCCATGGCCGGAGGAAGTCTCTTTTGTTGGCGAAAGCAGGGTAGAGGTCTCAGTTTCGTGGACTGCTCGCGGTTTGGATAACGGTCGCAACGGTCGCAAACTCGGTTGATTGGGTTTCAAGTATTCTTCCTGTTGTTGCTCTCCCTTCTTCCGTCTCCAATATGTCTTCATTGCATGACTGCGCGCAACAGGCTTTTCAATGCTTTCGACGAACTGGAAATGAGGCTGATTGGACTGTAGTATCGATTCAGAAGATACTAGGTCACCAGAAGCACGGCGCTTATCCATTTCATCTTCCGTAGTATTGAGCGGGTTTACCTCCTTTTCATTTGGGGAATCCATCGCTCTCCATACTATGTAGACAGTGAGATCGAGATTCCTGGTGCAGGTATTACTCACCCAGGGGAAACAAATTAGGGCTCGAAACCCACGAAGCCCCCTTACCTCTCATTTCTCAGCGTAAGGCAAAAGCCAAGTCATCTAATTTTGGAAATTTATATTTATTACGTGCACCTCGTCATTTGTAATTTACCTACGTCCTCCATCGCATCGTGTACCTTTGTATTAATACCCATAGCATATGCAATTGCTGAGCCATGGCCTCATGCCTCCTTTGTACCTTGAAGCTGAATTGCTGTGAGCTGCTCAAGTATATAACAAGAGCAATTCTCATCTATTATAATTATACTACTCTTGTTAAACAACTGAACTGGCGTTTCGTTCAGAATACGCAACTAAAAGGGAGCGATTCATTACTTTATCTTACATTCTATTCCATTCTAGGAAGTACTAACTAACGAATGATTGTCTAAATATATGGACATTATTGGTGGGTAGTATTTCCTCATATAGGAGTGGGGCTCACCGATATCATATTAGCATAGCGACTTGTACCTCCACTTGCGGACGATCTGATTTATATGTTTCAGTAATTGCCCCATAACATTCTTTCAGTACAGTTGGGCCGAATTGGACTTTCCTCCGATATGGTAGGACGGCTTGCCGAAAGTTGCTCTGGACAGCTGTAATTCGTTTCCGGTTAGCGAAGCGAGTATATTTTCAACTTCCCTTACGCCCATATTGGGTTTCAAACACGGGAGGACAACTATAGCAGCCTTGTTATGCACGTACGTCGCGCGTTGGAGAGAGTATTCAACGCTAATCTTTTCATCCAAGGTTGTTGTTCATCGGTGAAACGTAACTATCTAACCGATCATCCATCATTTATTCGTGTTTGTGCTCAGCAATCTTACTGCAGTAGGCGAAAAAAAGGCATCGAATGAAATACCAAGACAATAGGTGATAAGCTCTGACTTGTTCAAGGTACAATGAGCTGAGTCCGCTAGACAGGTTGAATACAGGGCGGATGGAGCCTAGATTCCTCATCTCCAACAGTGACTTTCGCTTTCTCGATCCAGTAGCATCTTTTCATGACTGATTAGAGTCTATGGCATAGAGCGCATTCCTATGATATTCAGCTTGGGTTTGACAGTCAGCACTTCGACCTAGTAATAGTTGCAACGCTCTCTTCATTAATCTCCATTTGATGTTGATGCAGGTATATGTCTACGTGAGCGAAAAGATGTGATCAACTAATATGATGAACTGTGCAAAATAGATGGAAGAAAACGACGTAGCTACTGCCATGATGCCCTCTAAATAGCTTCATATAAACAAAGATACAAAGTTCTCATCCTCCGAAATCTAGAAGTACCATCTCTGCAGGCCAGATAAAGAGACTCCCAACACAACAGGCTTCCTGCAAGATACGAAAGAAAGAGAGCTGCCAAAGAGAGGTCTACTTACTGTGTAGGAGAATATTGAAAGGCCTAAATGCATCATATGTCTGCCAGAGCGCGCTGCTAACCTCCGCGCTTTGAGTATTGAAGTCGACATCTCATCTTCTCATGGCCCTGAATCGATGTGATATGTATTGGGCAACCACGGTATCCGCAACATAAACGGATATCAAGCCCATTACGACTCGTCACTAAAATATGAACACCATGCAAGGATGAATTACGAATCACGCGGAGTAAGTAGAGCGAAGTAGAGCAATAAACTACGATAGTGACAGTACTTGTTATATATACAGTGAAGAGGGATATTCACGATGAGCAGTTTGGCAAAGCAGACAAGACGAGAGCAGCAAAACAAGACCAAACTTTCTTGTAGGTTAGCTAGCAAGTATGGAGAAACATGTAGACCTCAAAAATCATCCTGCCTTCCCACTAAAGCAGCATCTTGTAAAACATCTTTCTCTGGTGCATGGCTAGTTCTTGTTGTAAAATGCTAAGTTCTCTCTATTTGAAATAGGGAACCGAAAAGTACAATAATAAATCAGTTCCTCTTCACCTACTCATTGGATTTAGTTCTTTAGTATCTAGCTATCCCAGATTGACGGAAAACAACAGTGTATTTATATCAGCCATCAAGCCCATTCAACACCGTAGCCGACGGCGCAAAGAAAACGTTCCCTGTCAACGGCCTCGAAAAATCCAGCAACCGATCATGCAGCCCGGGCGGATGCCCCTTGAACATCCGCTCAAGCATCTTCTCAATGACCCATAGCCGCCTGGTATACCCAATGAAATAAGTCCCAAACTCTCCACTCGCTGGGGATCCAAAGGGCATGTTATCGCGCAAAATATCATGCTCATCGCCGTATTCGTCCTCAATCGTGTTCAGCGTCTTGTGCGAGGCCTGCTTCCCGTCCTCAGCGTCGTCAAGCTCAATATTATCGATCTTGGTCCGCCCAATGATCTCCTCTTGTTGTTCTGATGGTAGTGATTTCCAACTAGCTAGGTCGTGAACGTATTTCTGTACAACAATGTAGCTGCCATCCTGGGCGTGTGGATCGTCCTCCATCGTGACAAGGACAGACGGTAGAATGCCCGGGCCCACGGGGTTCGCGGTCCCATCGACAAAGCCGAGGAGATCGCGGCTGTCAAAGTAGCGGAACCCAACTGTTTCGTCGACGAGCTGCACAGAGTCACCGAGGTGGTCTATAAGCTGGCGCTCGAACTCGAAACAGATATCGCGGCGTTCGGAGCGAATGTGAAAGAGGAGGTCTCCCGGGGTGGAGATGGCGGTGTGTTTGGCACCCTTGACTTCGCGAAAGGGGTGGAGCTCTTTGGGTCGCGGGAGGTTGTTGGTGAGTTCGTCCCAGACGGAGCTGCCGATTCCCACCGTGCAGGTCAAGTTAGCGTCGGAGTCTCGAAAGGCGACATTTTTGGCTAGACTTGAGACGCTGGCGAGGGTTGAGCGGATGGTTGGAATGGCTGAGGTGTTTGTGATTGATAAAACGAGAAAGATTGCTGTTCGGGTGAGGGGGGCGATGACGGGTTGGATGCTGGCGGTGGTTAAGCTGCTCATTGTTCGTTTGAACGTTTTGATGGATGGTCCTTCCGTTGATTTCTTGGAACCACGACGAGTTGTCACTGCTCGATTCGTTACGGTATCCAGGTATAAGGAGGTAAGTCGATATGTTTCGAGTCTGATAAATCGAGGTTGAAGATAGCAAATCTGGACTGAAGCTGTACTGTACCGCCCAAACAGAGGATTTGGATTTCAAAGCTTAGTATAGCAGCTTGACTCCGAGCTCCAAGCTAGTCCAGTGGGACGGACCCTTTGCTGATCTCGGGGATCGGCGTGGGAGGCGTGCTATATACGGCAGATACGTCTTCTGATTGGCCAATTAGTACTACCCGATTCAGAGAGGCGGATCAACAACTCGTTTATTTCGTCGCAGGTCCACACCAATTCTGTTCTCAAGACTTCTAATACTATCGTACATCGAATATGACTGCTAATAAAGTGTGTTTGTTACTAATGCAGAAACCCTAATTCGTTAAATGCTACTGCCGTTTTGCACCTGGACCTTCCCAGCAGTGGCAAAAAAGCTGGTGCCCGTTACAAAACCGGTCCTGAGTGAGACATGGCATTACTTGAGGGCAGTGTTTGCCCTGCTTGGGGTCGTCTTGTATCCTTCTGCCCGATATGATTGTGATACGACCGTTCAATTCTTCCCTGGGCTCAGACTTGGGTCATTTCTTGTCCGTTTGGAAGGCCATTGTTCGCGTAGGAGAAACCTAGACAGGTCAAAAGAGTCAGCCCCATACTAACTTCAAACACGAGTCTAAATGACGTTTACACCCAGGTAGAATCCACCAACGTTCCATGTTGTTTGCTCAAAAGCGGGCATGAAAGCAGAGAATGTGAATTCTCAGTGAACCGACGGCGCCCCAAGGGATTTAGAGTTGAGCTACTAGATTGCACTAAGCTGTTGGTTACCCGCAATTCGAGACCCGACAATAATTGTAAAGCATTCGTCAGCTAGTTAGGTAGTTGTTCCACGACCGGACAACAAATAGAAACTCAAAATGCTGTCACACCTAACCCCCCGTATAGGAATGCTTGGGATCAGCTCGTTTTGAGGTCATCCACGTCATTGCAGCTCGGTCGGCCAGAGATAAATGTCAAAGCTAAGAGGTGCTTCTTGTGATATATATATCGTTCCACAGGATTGTACAACTCATTTCCTTGCCAAATCGCAAAGTGACCAAGCCATTTCCCACCAAATATCAACATGCCTGAAGGTTTGCCGCCTTGCTTGATGCGTGACTTCTTGCGGGGCTAACGAAAGCAAAGCAGACTCTCAGCATCCTGTCAAGGACAAAGAACCTCTAATCGAGAGGATTTTCGAGCATCATCATCATAAGCACAGCCAGGAAGAAGACGGCCACTCTGATAAGCAAAATGGACCGTCGAACAAGAAGGATAAACCGAAATTCTACGACGACTACCTGAAGAAGGATGAGAAAGCCCTCAAAGACTACTACGAGAAGGACAAGGAGTTGGAAGCCGAGGGCCAGACCTATGAAGGCTTGATGTGATTCTATTGCTCGCTGGATTCCTTAGCTGTCTTTTTTCTGACTATTCAATTGACACTTGAAGATTCATATATTCTCGGAAATCTGTATGCCTATTTATAAACACTGCAGTAAGATGAGAATAAGGTCAGGTGCTTGATCGGTGTAGTTTGCACGATCCTTGAGAACTAAAGGCTTGCAATGCCCTTGATTGGTAGTTTCCTTTCTCCGTCCTTCTCCAATGTTATTTACGTATTATTGTTGCTTTTTCCTCTGCTTATCGAGAAAATCTAACTATGGAGGCTTATCTCCTTATGCACAAATCAAAGACACCACATGCAGGGGAGAAGCAGTTCAATTGGAAATTACCGTTGTGTTGGCAGCCCCTTTGTCCATCCTGCAGATATGCTCATCCTGGCTTCCAGCGGAGATGATCTTTGTGCTTTTGTTTATATAAAGCTATTTAGAGAGCTTCAGGGAAGCAGCTAGTCTTCCGAGGGTCCAATCTATCTTACACAGTTTCGCATTGGTTGATCGTTCGCCTTCTCCAGACTCGTAGATTGTATGCGTGCATCAGATCAGATTCAAAAGTCAACGATCTGTCTTTAACTGTACAATTGCATAGCTGGCTTCATACCATGTGGTGAGTATGCATAAAGTCTGTATGTATCAATTTTTGTGGCTAGACTATGAGGGAAGCGTGCTTTTCGTCAGTGGTGCAGCTGGGGAAGTGTGTGGTACTACGACGGTTGAACATTGGTCTCGTGGAAATACAGTAAATTGAGCGTAACTTGCGATAATTTATTCAGTTCTTAACCTTGGCCTCCGTCGCTTTTCGAAGCCTAGCCCCGAGTTCTTGATTGACACGACCGAAAAGTGCTGCAAAGAATTCAGAGTAAGTAAAAGCCATAAGTTGAAAGCCATACAAGACAAACGAACCGTAAACACCCTCGCGTAACTTGGGTGACGTAACCCCACTGATATTTCCCGCAAGGTTATGAATGACCCTGTCCTGGTGCCCTGGCTCGCGCCCAAGGATTTCCCACAAAGCTGCAGGCTGAACGAAATCATCGTCAGTAATCTGACTAGTGTATGCTGACACTTCGCCAGCCCATTTCTCGTGGTCGGTATGGACGCTGAGTGACTGAGCGGTAACACCGTTTTCCTTGGTCTTGAACTGCGTTGGCTGCAGGGTAGATCCAACGTAATTGGGGTCAGCACCGTAATTTTTATCAAATCGCATTGCTCCATCTCGTTCAAATGGACAGTAAACAGGGACTTTGGCAGCATTGGTGGGGAGCTGTTGGTAGTTGACACCAAGACGGTATCGAGCTGCATCGGGGTACGCAAACAAACGGGCTTGGAGGACTAGATTCGGGAATCAACCACAGGTCATTCAATTAACATTGGAGATGTAGCTTACCAGGATCAGCGGAAGCTGCAAATCCGGGAACCATAGTGGAAGGCGAGAAAGCGGCCTGTTCGATGTCGGTAAAATAGTTGTCGGGCTAAATAGTTAGAATAGGTATCAATTTCAGGAGAGAGCCATAGCTCACATTGCGATTCAAAGTCATTTTACCAATCTTCCTCAATGGGAAGTCCTTCTTGGGCCAGACTTTGGTCATGTCGAAAATATTCCAGCGATAGGTTTCGGCTTCGGAAGGGCTCATTACTTGCACAAAAACATCCCACTGCGGGAAGTCTTTTCGTTCAATGGCGTCGAACATGTCTCTGATCATATAATCAGGGTCCTCTCCTGCGACACGAGTTGCTTCCTCTTGTGTGAAATTCTTCACGCCCTGTCGCGTCTTCATATGGACTTTGATGTAATTGAACGAACCATCCTAGCCAGTTAGCGATAAGTAATCGTCACCAAGGCTGTCGTCCTTACCGCCTTTGTGAACTTGTATGTATGTCCACTGTATGAATTGAGAAATCGAACTGATCGTGGGGTTCCTCTGTCACTGAAAAGAATCAAAAGTTGATGGATGCCTTCCGGGTTCCCGACGTGGAAGCTAAAGCATGTCATTAATGCAGAAAATCAAGCTTGTATCTAAGGGACTTACTCCCAAAACTAAATCTATGTTAATTCATTGCTGGATTGTCTGGTGATCAAAATTGGAGACTTACCATGTTTGGATCGGGCAAATGGGTTTGGGGATTCCTCTTGTGGGAGCGATTCACAGAGGGAAACTTGATGGGATCTCGAATAAAGAACACAGGCTTGAAAATTTTGTTAGCCTTTTTACCTTAGTATAGGACCATGAAGTTATTCACCGTATTGTTGAAGACCCAGTCAAGATTTCCTTCGTCGGTGTACATCTTCATCGCCCATCCATGAACGTCCCGCGAAGTATCCGCAGAGCCCGATTCCGGACCGACGGTGGAAACACGAAGGAGAATAGGGGTCTTCTTTCCAACTTTGCTGAGGAAGCTCGCAGAGGTCAGGTTGGAGCAGTCCTCGGTAGCTTCAAATTCTCCATATGCGCTACAATAGGAGCGAGAGTCAGCGACCTGTTGCAAACCGACTTTCAACCACCCAATTTCACCTACCCAACGGCCTTTGCATGAACAACGCTACAGCGTCGATTAGTTTAAGATCAATATTGTAGAGTAGATAGACCGGCTCATACCGCTCGGGGATTCTCTCGCGATTGAAGTGCGCGAGTGTCTCAATGAGCTGAGTGTCTTGGAGCAGACCTAGACCGCCAGTTCCTGGACGATTCCGCATCAAGAGCGCGGTGTTGTTGCTAGCGAAGGGGCATCCTGTTCCAGAATTAGTACTTGTAGGATTGCTAATCCCCCCATGCCCCCCAAAAAGCTGACCTTCCGCAAGAGTATAATATTTATCGGCAGACATGGTAAATGTTGGGGCAAACGATATGTGAAGGGAAATGTAACAGAACAAAGCAGCCAGGGCTCTCCGATTTAAAGCTAATGAACTTCTTAGTGAACTGCTTTATTATTCCGCCATTCCTCCCCAATGTTAATGACGCTTCCATTATACATGCACTGACCATTCAGGACATCTTGATTAGCACTGTATTTTCTTCCGCCATCTCAGTGGTCAATTATGCCCAGTAAGGTATCTACCTCTGACGAAATTGCCGCATTTCAGCTACCGCTAAATTCAAGCTCAACCCGATTATCTGACGTTCCAGGCCTCTGAGGTGTCAGATCTACAACTAGTGGGACTATCATCTCGGGAGTACTGTGTTTGGTTGTACATCATATCTTTATTTTGCCTCAGGTACAAGCTTCAGGGACCCGCATAATTACGTCACTACAATACGACACGATTGTTATTTGTCGACTAGCATTTCCTAAAGTAGCTAACGTATGGCCTTGAAACCAATAGATCCACTCTTGACTGAACTTCAGTTTTCCGCTCAACCGAGACCCCAATTTATGCAGACACTAGAACCTGACGCAGTTCTCCGCACGAAGTAAGACAAGACCTAAGTGCTGAATTCTACTCCTCTTCTCCCAACAGAGGCTTTTCTGCCTCGATTGGGTAGTGGGAAAATCACCAAACCCATACCGATATCTAATTGGTCGAATGCTATTGCCTCATCGGTTCAGGGTAGCATAGGAGTATTCATGCCGTATCCGAAGCCCGCTACTCCTGCTAAGTGCTAGATTCTTGACCTCCCGAAACCGAAATACTAGTTTTCAGGCTCTCGCGTTCTCATTCCGACCTGCGACCAGCTTTGTCAAGCAGGCATAAAGCCGTCTAGCCCTAACTCTCCTGCAGCTGTGCACCTGGCTTCCACCAGCTTGAAGATTCACTGTTCGCGTGTCTCAAACCGAAACTCAATTGAGTATCTAGCCAACCCATGGAACGGCCGCCCAACGTGCAACAACAAATGGCCCACTTCATCTGGTACAGCTCCACCCAAGCTGGTCAAAGGTGCGATCATCCTGATCTACTATCTATGTATCTATCCAACCCCACATTCCGCCAGAACCATCCCGTGGATAGAGAAGCTAGCTTTTCGCTTCTATCCACTAGGTCAAGCCAATATAGCCGCCGAATGTTTATAATGCAGATCCTGTGACATCTCGACATGGTCGAGCCAGATCGGTATAAGCCATTGCCACACTGAAAACTCTAAGATGACCATACGAAAAGTAGTAAACGAAGTTAGACATGATCGAGACAGGTCGGTATGAGCCATTGCCACGTCGTAAACTCTAGGATGACCATCAGAACACTGGGGGTCACTGGTCGTAAAATACGGGTGGATCACTTGGCCCAGCACTAGTAAGACCTTCCTCAGCTAGGTGCCCGTAAGACCAGTAGTAAACGATACAGTGCCCTTGTCTGTGGAACCGCTTGTTTTTTGCTCTACTCAAATCAACGACGCCACATGAGGGGTTAGGAAGAGGAATGCATGCGCTGGTTGTTTCATGAAAGACGTTCTCCTCATCCCGAAAAGCCCAACCCGTCAGATATAAAAGGCGTCTCGAAGTCGCGCACTCCGTAGACAGATCACCTTTTTCAGATAATTCAATTCCTTACAACTTCTCAACCCTTTTCACTCCTCAACATGACTGTTGTTCAGGACAATGCCAGGTTCGACTTCATCGTCGTCGGTGGAGGCACAGCTGGCAACGTCGTTGCCGGCCGCCTGGCTGAGAACCCCAATGCTAGAATCCTAGTCGTTGAAGCCGGCGTCGAGAACGCCAAGGACCTTGAAGCGATCCGAGTTCCTTCCAACGCGATGGAACTTCGTGATAGCGAGTATGACTGGGCGTTCAAAACAACGATGGTCAAGCGAGATGACTATGAGCGCATCGAGAAGCCCAACACGCGCGGAAAGGTCCTCGGCGGCAGTTCCTCCTTGAACTACTTCACCTGGGCGCCTGGGTCAAAGGGCACTTTTGATATGTGGGAGGAATATGGCGGAAAAGAGTGGACTTGGGATCCGCTTGTTCCCTACCTGCGGAAGAGTGTCACTTACCACGACGATGCAAATGCCTACTCGCCTGAGCTGAAGAAGATTGGCAGTAACGGTCCGATCCCGATTGCCCACTCGGAACTCATCCCCGAGATGAAGCCTTTCAGAGACCTTCTCACCAAGGCATGGAAATCCACTGGTCATCCAGTAACCGAGAATATTTTCGACGGTACTATGTCCGGCCTGACTCATAGTGTCAACACGATCTATAAGGGTCGTCGCTCTGGCAGCTTCCTATGTATTGCCGATAAGCCAAACGTCACTATTCTTCCTCAAGCGCATTCGAAGAACCTTATTATCGATGCTGCGGACAAGACATGCAAGGGTGTTACTGTTATCTTGGGCTCTGGTCAGGAGCTTAATCTCTTTGCTACCCGTGAAGTTATTGTCTCCGAAGGTGTCTTCGAGACTCCTAAGCTGTTGATGCTCAGTGGTATTGGACCTTCTGCGGAGCTCAAGAAGCACGGTATCCCGGTGATTATTGATAACCCTCATGTCGGGCAGCATCTCCTGGATCACCCCGGTGTTCCTTTCGTTCTTCGTCTCAAAGATGGCTTCGGTATGGACGATTATATCTTACGGAAAGGAACCCCACACAACGATAGAGCCATTCAAGCCTACGAAAACAGTCATGGTGGTCCATTGGGCTCCGGGTTCCTTGAAATGGTTGGGTTCCCCCGAATTGACAAGTACCTGGAGAAGGATCCCCTATACCGTGAAGCGAAAGCCGCCAACGACAACAAGGATCCGTTCTGTCCATACGGCCAGCCTCATTTCGAACTTGACTTTGTCTGTCTCTTTGGCAGTGCCTTCCAGTGGCACTATCCTACCCCTAGTAAGGGTAACTATATCACGGTCATGGTGGATCTTGTCCGCCCTGTCTCTGAAGGCGGCACGGTTACGCTCCACAGCAGCGACCCCCTGCAGCAAGCCAATATCAATCTGAACTACTTCAACAATGACCTCGACATTATTGCCATTCGTGAGGGTATCCGGTATGCCTATGATGTCCTCCTCAATGGCGAGGGCTTCAAGGACATCGTCGAGGACGAGTACCCCTGGCCGATGCCGCTGCACGATGACAAGCTCATGAAGAGAGTTGTGCTCGATCGCTCCCAGACCTCATTCCATCCTTGCGGTACTGCCCGTCTGTCCAAGAGCATCCAACAAGGTGTGGTGGATCCCGGCCTCAAGGTTCACGGCATCAAGAACCTTCGTGTAATCGACGCGTCTTGTATCCCTGTCATTCCCGACTGTCGGATTCAGAACTCCGTTTACATGATTGCCGAGAAGGGTGCCGATGCTATTAAGCGTGACCATTCTGACTTGTACAAATAAGTCATTTCGGGTGGGCTTAGGCCATCTAGTTTTGGGTGTTTTAGGGCGATGAATTAGGCACATGTGGACTTGTATCTATCAAATTGACTATCTATCAAATTGACTGTATGGTAACTATGCTTTTCATTACAGATATAAGTAAGACTAAGCTTGTTCGAATTTTTGTTAGTAATTGTGGCTTGGAATGATCATTACTGGACGGACTGTGCTTTTGTGGTAAGAACCTGAGCGACCATAACGGTCACAGCAAAACGACCATGAAAACGAGGGCCGACCGAGGACAAGTACGGGCGACGAGAGAGGGTTCCGCCCCGATCTGAAGAAAGACGACGAAAGCCTCAAAGAATACCTTGAAGATGAGCATGTCGAAGAGGACGGTCCGAACTTTGGAGCCTTGATGCAGTTCTCTTGCTTCGCTGAAACAATCAGAATATTACTGAAAGAACCCTTCATCATTCCGCCCCGCTTGTTCTATTTCTAAGGTTCTTGATGTACTTACATATAATAATAAATCCAGCTGCATACTCTAACGCCCGCGCATTGACGACAGAAGCGAATCCGGCGACCATCCATCTTCAACGAATAGCGCGTTGGTTTTGTTATTCCCCAGGCAGTAAAGCAAATTGAGAAGACATTTCTCGACTCCTTGGCGCGCTTCCAAACTCAAGGTTCCCAGAACCTGCACCAGGTCCATAAAATAATTCATCTTGTATTGCCCTTCCTCAACGAGCCTTGTCAGGCTTTCGTATAAGATAGAGCGCAAGTGGTGGATTGAACGCCCCCACATATGATGAGAGTGCCTTAGGGATATCTCCAATCCTTGTAATGTGCTCGGTCCATTGGATGCTGTTAAATCCTGATCTGACAGGGCGGAAATTGACTCCTGCATTAGGACACTAATGCAAAATAAACACCATAGCATTTCGTCTTCCCACTCTGTATTGTGATAATCATGGGTAGAAGGATCAATAGAGAGCAGAAAATTCTCACGCAACAGGCCTACGGCGGCATGAGTGAAGGGATACGCAGAGAGCCCTCTAGTGTAGACTGATCCCATGAATGTTCTCATATCTTGAATGAATGATATCAGCCAAAGGCAGCGGACCTTTTGAACATCGCAAGATAAGGGGTTTTGCGTAGCGTTGGGCGATAAAAGAGGACGAGAGAGTCGTTCGAGGTTGTTCGTGGATTCGAGCCATGACGGTCGTGACATTAACGAAACACTGCAGGTATTCAGTATCGCAACTTCTTTATACTTTTGACCATCTGCACTAACAGGTAAACCACAAGTTGCAAGCGCCAATTTCTGTGGAGCGCTTCAACTCCCCCTTTGGCATCGATCATTCTTTGTAAGCCATCACGGTGGATTTTCCAATCTTCCACCGTGCCCCAGTATCGCTAGGTCAAATGCGATCAGCTAGTCTCACACAGAGGATATTGCTATTAGTTGACACACCTCGAATGTAAGCAGACGAACCACAGCCGCAAAAGCGTCATCGCTTAGCTCCTTCTTAGGATCACTAAGCCAAAAGCGTAGTATCCTGACAGCCTCGATCTTATATTTCAAGGCATCAAACGATTTCGACCCTCGTCGCGGGGGAGTTCCAGCGTATAAATGATATAAGTGCGCAGCTGAATGCGCCATGATGCAGTTGAAAGACGATTCATTTGAGAGGTCCAGCGGGAACCAAACATCTTTCATCGGATTGAACTCGGTGACATTCAGGTCTGCAAACATCATAGCCGCATGGGTGCTTATCCCTACGACCCCGTCAGCAAGATTTCCACATATAGCAAGGTCTGAAATCCTCATGCGCACAGTGATGCAAAAGCTTTTGGTGCTGGCTCGTCAGGTGAACAGGACACGTCTGGAACGGGTCAGGCCTCGAGATTGACAGCGCAGAACTCAGACCACATAGCAGCTGGGCGGAAATGCTAGTAGATTCCTCTTGATTCCTGCCAATGTCCACATCCCCAACCTCTGGCAACCCTGAAGATGTACTCGCATCTTCACTAGCGCGGTTCTTTGAACGGAGAGGCAAATTTCGCGATGAATTTCTCTGGTGATATGCTTTTGCCTCTTTATTGCGCTGATGTCGCCGCTTCCAGTGTTCCTTCATAGCATGGCTCCGAGCTTCTGAATGAATGTTCCCTGTCACGAATGCAAACTTATTTGTTCCACTAGAGGAGCTGGAGTCCCGCGAAGACATTTTTCATTTCTGGCCATGGGAGGCGTTGTCGGGACAGTGAAGTTGATGGATCAAAATGTGGGCAGGCCAGCCAGGTCTTAGTCAGCAAACCAGCCCGCTCGTGGCGTCGACCTTACCCTGGCCAACCTTGGAAGATCCAAATGGGTACCCCGTTTAACGTGCAAAAGCAAACACCTTTACATAAATTTATAGTGATCTGAAGTAATTTTGCAGTATCTAAGTGTAAAGCACTAAAATTGTTCAAGGAGTTCAAGTCCATTTAGGTGCTAGTCCGGGCATCGACTAATCGGATAGCGTGCAGGCGGATTACATCGAGTAATACGGCAGTAGTACGAGTCAAGGTGATTTATCGCATAGTAACTGACACTATGTATACAAAACTTCCCATGATGTGCTAGAAGCTTAAGACCAAGCAATTTTGCTTAAAGATACCCAACACTTGAATATTTGTCCTATTGCGAGGCTGAATCCACCTTGACAAAAAGATTGAACAAGGTTTGTCCCACTTATAGATGCAAGCAAACCTGTGCGCCGTAAAATCTCTATGATAAGAAGTCGGTTGCTTATGTGGCCTTTGTCTTTGACTTTATATTTAAGACAAGCATTCAGCACTAGATGCCTTTTGGGTCGTCTTTCTATATGATCGAGCACGCACAAATGTTAGAACCTGAAGCGACGTGACGTATTTCCTGAGGATAAGATGACTTTTCAGACATATCAGATTTCAAAAACCAGGAGTTATCTATAGTATACCAAGCACTAAATTCAAAATAAATACCAAGATAGTTCGTAGTGATTACTTATAGAGTGGTTGTAGATGGCCGAGGGTGTCAGGGTCGCACAGAGAGTCGGGAACTCCAAACGTGGTCCGTGCACCCATCGACCTTCTCCAAGCCTCACACATGACCCTCCCTCTACCATCCAACTTTATGCGCTCCGCGTCTTCTTATTTTATGGCCTAGACCTTGTATTCCAATGTCCACCCTGGGGTGTGATTTGCAAATATGGCCCAAGCAGGCGCAATCTCAGACGTGACCCAAAGGTTGTTCGTGGAGCTCAAGTCAAAGAATGAGGAGGCCAGGGCCAGAGCTGCATACGAGCTCTACGAGAACGTCCTCTCTGTGTCTAGAGGTATTAACGGTTGAATTCCAAGACATCTTACTAGCTAACATATTTCCTTGTGCAGACTGGCCATCGGAGAAGTTCGTGGAATTTTACAACCTTGTTAGCCAACGCATCGCTCAACTCGTGGTCAACGGCAGCGACGCAAACGAAAGAATCGGTGGCTTGTTAGCACTCGATCGGCTCATTGACTTTGACGGAGTTGATGCGGCTCAGAAAACGACCAGATTTGCCAGTTACTTGCGCAGCGCCCTTCGCAGCAATGATAACGCGGTCCTGGTGTACGCGGCCCGATCGCTGGGCCGACTCGCGAAGCCAGGCGGGGCTCTAACCGCAGAACTGGTCGAAAGCGAAATACAATCCGCATTAGAATGGCTACAATCGGAGCGCCAGGAAAGTCGGCGGTTTGCTGCAGTTCTTGTAATCAGGGAACTGGCCAAGGGCTCACCAACACTCCTCTACGGCTTCGTTCCGCAGGTTTTTGAGCTTGTTTGGGTCGCCCTTCGAGACCCAAAAGTACTCATCCGCGAGACCGCCGCCGAGGCCGTCGGGGAATGCTTTGAGATAATCGTGGCTCGTGATTCTCAAGTCCGTCAATCATGGTTTGCACGGATACACGACGAAGCACTTCTGGGCTTGAAGTCCCATAACGTCGACTGGATCCATGGCTCCATTTTGATCATCAAAGAGTTGATCTTGAAGGGCACGATGTTCATGAAAGAACATTATCGGGATGCTTGCGAAATCATCCTTCGTCTCAAGGACCATCGCGACCCGAAGATTCGCACCGAAGTCGTCCTCACTATTCCCATTCTTGCCTCATATGCACCCACCGATTTCACTGAGATCTATCTACACAAATTCATGATCTACCTCCAAGCGCAACTCAAGAGAGATAAAGAGAGGAACTCCGCCTTCATTGCCATTGGAAAGATTGCCAATGCAGTGGGCACCGCTATCGGCCAATATCTCGACGGCATCATCATCTACATTCGAGAGGGGCTTGCAATGAAGGCGAGGAATCGGTCAGGAGTTAACGAGGCGCCGATGTTTGAGTGCATCAGCATGCTGTCCCTCGCAGTGGGACAGGCGCTCAGCAAATACATGGAAGCTCTTCTGGATCCCATTTTCGCCTGTGGGCTGAGCAAATCATTAACACAGGCTCTGGTCGACATGGCCCATTACATTCCTCCCATCAAACCTATGATCCAGGAAAAGCTTCTTGATATGTTGAGTATCATCCTTTGTGGAACGCCATTCCGGCCCCTCGGGTGTCCTGAAAACCGACTGCCTCCTATGCCATCATTCGCAAAAGACTTTCCACCCAATGAGCTTCACTCCGATTCTGATATCGCATTGGCACTTCACACACTGGGCAGCTTTGATTTCTCTGGGCACATATTAAACGAGTTCGTGCGTGATGTCGCTATCAACTACGTGGAAAATGATAATCCCGAGATTCGAAAGGCATCCGCTCTTACATGCTGTCAGCTGTTCGTTCACGATCCGATCATCAATCAAACCAGTGGACACTCTATTCAAGTTGTCAGCGAGGTTATTGACAAGCTGTTGACTGTGGGTATCGGAGACCCTGATCCTGAAATCCGGCGCACTGTCTTGTGGTCATTAGACCGCAAATTTGATCGGCACTTGGCACGACCAGAGAATATTCGATGTTTGTTCTTAGCAGTCAATGATGAGGTTTTCGATGTCAAAGAAGCCGCGATCTGCATTATCGGTCGACTTTCCAGCGTCAACCCTGCTTATGTCTTCCCGCCACTCCGAAAACTGCTGGTCAATCTTCTCACTGGCCTTGGCTTCGCGAATACTGCCCGGCAAAAGGAGGAAACGGCTCAACTCATCAGCTTGTTTGTCTCGAATGCGACGAAATTGATCAGGTCATACGTTGATCCCATGGTGACCGCATTGTTGCCCAAAACAACAGACATTAATCCCGGTGTTGCTGCCACTACTTTGAAGGCAGTCGGTGAGCTCGCCAATGTCGGCGGCCATGAGATGAGACAATATTTGCGGCAGATTATGCCAATTATTCTGGACTCACTCCAGGACCTCTCGTCGCATAACAAACGTGAAGCTGCGCTTCGGACATTAGGACAGTTGGCCAGCAATTCAGGCTATGTTATCGAGCCATACATGGAATACCCCCATCTTCTCGGAGTGCTCATCAACATCATCAAAACGGAACAGACAGGCTCTCTACGCAAGGAGACCATCAAGCTTCTCGGAGTCCTCGGTGCCCTCGACCCCTACAAGTACCAACAGATCAGCGAGATTGAACCTGACGTACACCATATCAACGAAATACAAAATGTTTCTGATGTTGCCCTCATTATGCAGGGCCTCACGCCCTCCAATGAGGAGTATTATCCCACAGTGGTAATCCATACTTTGATGCAGAACATTTTGCGAGAAAACTCCCTGGCGCAATATCACTCAGCTGTCATTGATGCCATCGTCACAATTTTCAAGACTCTGGGTCTGAAGTGTGTCCCATTCCTTGGACAAATTATTCCAGGGTTCATCTTGGTCATAAGAAGCGCTCCTGCTAGCCGTCTCGAGCCCTATTTCAATCAGATGGCAATCCTGGTGAATATCGTGCGACAGCATATTCGCACTTTCTTGCCAGAGATAATCGAGGTCATTAGAGACTTCTGGGATGCTTCATATCAAATCCAGGGTACGATTATATCCTTGGTCGAGGCAATTGCTAGGTCACTGGAAGGAGAATTCAGGAAGTATCTTGCTGGCCTGATCCCTTTGATGCTCGATACGCTTGATAAAGACACCTCGCCTCGTCGACAGCCCTCCGAGAAGATTCTCCATGCTCTTTTGATATTCGGCACAAGCGGGGAGGAATACATGCATCTCATCATTCCTTCCATTGTCCGTTTGTTCGATCGGCCACAAAATCCTCAGAGCATCCGCAAATCGGCTATTGATAGCTTGACAAAATTATCGCGGCAAGTCAATGTCTCTGACTTTGCATCCCTAATGGTTCATTCCCTATCACGGGTCGTGGCTAGCGGTGATCGTGTGCTGCGTCAAGCCGCGATGGACTGCCTTTGTGCTCTCATTTTCCAGCTGGGACAGGACTTCACCCATTACATCCATCTTCTAAACAAGGTCCTCAAAACCAATCAGATCGTGCATGTCAACTACCAGATCCTGGTGACGAAACTCCAGAAGGGCGACCCACTTCCGCAGGATCTCAATCCAGAAGAGGTCTATACTTTCCCCACGGACGATACCAATTTTTCCGAGATTGGACAAAAGAAGATTGTTGTGAATCAGCAACATCTCAAGAATGCGTGGGATGCTTCGCAGAAGTCCACTCGTGATGATTGGCAGGAATGGATACGCCGTTTCAGCATTGAGCTGTTGAAGGAATCCCCGTCCCCGGCATTGCGTGCATGTGCTAGCTTGGCCGGAATCTACCAGCCGCTCTCAAGGGACCTTTTCAATGCTGCCTTCGTTTCGTGTTGGACTGAGTTGTATGATCAATACCAAGAAGAGCTCGTCCGCTCAATCGAAAAGGCGCTTACCTCTCCCAACATCTCCCCAGAGATTTTGCAAATTCTCCTCAATTTGGCCGAATTCATGGAGCACGATGACAAGGCTCTTCCCATCGACATCCGCACTCTTGGGAAGTATGCTGCAAAGTGTCATGCTTTTGCTAAAGCTCTTCACTACAAAGAACTCGAGTTCGAGCAAGATCAGAACTCGGGTGCGGTTGAAGCCTTAATTACCATTAACAACCAGCTTCAGCAGTCTGACGCTGCCATTGGTATCCTTCGCAAAGCGCAGGCGTATCGTGATGTGGAGCTCAAGGAAACATGGTTCGAGAAGCTTCAACGGTG